TCATCTGTACCATTCTTGGGATACACAGTAGACTCCGAAGGTTTCATACCTGATGCTAGTCGTTTGGCACCTCTAATTCAAGCACCGTCACCTAATAATATGTCATCGTTGAGATCATGGATAGGTACTCTTCAGTTTTACTCCAGATTCATTCCCAACTTCACTCAACGGTTATCTCCACTTTTTGAGATTGTCTCCAGTGAACAGTTTAAGTGGGAACAACAACATGAGAATATCTTGCGAAAAACTTTGGAGTTTCTTAATAAACAAGCTTTCTTAAGACCTTTTTCATCGAAAGATAAGTCTGTTCTCACTGCAGATGCTTCTCCTGTGGGTATAGCTGCAGTACTTGAGCAAAATGGACAACCTGTCATTTGTATTTCAAAACGTCTAAGTAAGAGTGAACAAGGGTACTCACAAACCCAGAAAGAAGCTCTAGCAGTTGTATGGGCAATAAGACGCTTACACAAGTATCTCTTTGGTACTAAGTTTCACATAGTTACTGATCATCAAGCTTTGAAATTCATTTACAATCCGGAAAAATCTTTGAATAAATCATCTGCTGCTATGGTTCAAAGATGGAGTTTAGAACTAAGTGCATATGATTACACTATTGAACATAGATCGGCAAAGGATATACTTCATGCAGACTTCTTATCTCGTTATTCATTAGTTGAAAATGTTGCTAATGATAATGTTTGCTTATTAGTCCAGCCGTTACCGGTGGATCGAGTTCGACTTATAAATGATACTCGGAAATATTACGGATGCGTTATAAATGCAACAAATAGAGGTTGGAATGTTCAGTGTAAGCGAAGATTTCCAGACTTTTATAAGCGAAGAGATGAGATTTCAATCCATTCTGAAGGATTTCTAAGTCCGAATGACAGAATTATTATTCCTCCAACATTAAGATCTGCGATTTTGGATGATCTACATTCTGCTCATCTAGGAGCTGATAAGATGAAATCATTAGCACGCCTAACATGCTGGTGGCCGGAAATTGATGCTGACATTAACAAAAGATCAAAAGGCTGTTCTAGCTGTTTACATAAAATGTCCTATGGGAAGTCATCGTGGACACCGTGGTCTGCATCTTGTGAGGTTTGGCAGCGCATTCATGCAGATTACTGTGGGCCATTCTTAAATTCATATTATGCTTTAGTTATTGTGGATTCTTATTCTAGATGGCCAGAATCCATCATTACAGATAGTCCTAATGCCAAATTCACTCACAGAGCGTTGAGAAAGAATTTTAGTCGAGAAGGAATTCTAGATGTCTTAGTTACTGACATGGTACTCATTTTACGGAGAAGAACTTCAATGATTGGCTCAAACATATAGGTTGTCGTCATTTGTACACAGCACCACGTCATCCTCAGTCAAACGGGTTGGCAGAAAATTTTGCACGAACATTAAAGAGTGCTATAGCATCAATGAGTCCTAAGAATTTCGATGAGCTAGAGAGATGTGTGGATAACTTCTTACTTCAATATCGCAATGCAGAGCATACAAGTACTCATGAAAGTCCTGCAAAACTATTCAAATCTCGAATTCTCAGAAAGCATCTGATGTCCACGACTTCTGATGTACATTATTACAGAGGGAATGATTATAGACCTTCTATTGGTATCATACTACAAAGAATGGAAAATCGAATGGTGGAGATATTAGACATTGAAGATAATTCAGTTCATAACAGACACTTGGATCAAGTGAGAATAAATGAGGTAGGTCGTTCCGATTATGATTATAATGACTCCGCTACTAATCCTGACATTGTAGATAATTCAGAAATAAGTCTAGATGATACTGATGGAAATGATATCACAGAATCAGTTAGAAGATCGCAGAGACTGGCAAGCAAACCGCGATATCATGATAAATACGCAAGGAGACATTCGACGTGTAGCGGATGTGATGATTGACAGTTACTATCTCTATATTGTTTAAATACTTACTGTTGATTGTTAATATATTTCATATATGAATTGAATAATAATTCCGCTAAATACAAATTCCTGAATTCCGCCTTCTCTATGTTTTGTTTGGATTCTTGTAATTCGGTCATCTCGAAATACTAATACTACGGTTACAATAAATTACCACATTTAAGCTTGTCATTTTGTCGCAGTCCGCTAAGAATAAACGGGCAGTATTCTAAAATAGGCCGGACACATACTTTTTTAATAAAACCCTAGTTTCACAACAAAAGAAATTGCGTGTTATGCATCCTAGCAAACTCTGTGTTTTACGTCTACCATAATCAGTCTGTTCAGAGAACATTAAATTACCAGAGTATCGGATACCGAGATCTACGACTGAGTTGAGCCTGGCCAGTTTTCGCCCATTTCTTTCAAGAGCTAGGTCAAGGTTACCGTAACCGATACAAATCCATCCGCATTTGTCAGTGTTAAACTTTAGACAGGACTCATCACGCCATGTTGCGAGACAAATTAGTTCGAGACGTATTTTACTTACGATGTCGTTTAATTCATGACTGTGACAGTGGTAAGCTGCTCTGAGGTCGTCAACATATAGAAATGGTTTATCCGGGGTGAAGCACTTGCAAATGCTGTTAATGTAGACTGTAAATAAAAGTGGCTCTAGGACATTACCCTGCACAACCCCACTTGAGATCTGCCTAGGATGCGACAATGTAGATCCAACTTCGGTTATTTGTACCCTCTTGCTTATAAATCACCTCAAACATTTAAGTGATGGATCGCGAATTCCAAGTAAGCACAGCTCAAAGCGAATAATATGAGATGCCATATCAAGCGCCCTAGGTATATCGAGGTAAGGAACAAAGACGTGCCTACATGCTTCGTGACTACTAGTGATGCAGTTGAATAAAGTCAAAGTGGCAAGTAACGCAGGACCCATTTTTGAGAAATCCGTGTTGAAACCTTCTAACAGGATCTTCTCCAAGTATATGGTCTCATAATTGATCTTTAACAACTTTCTCCATGATTCGCAAGATAACTGGGGTTATATTAATAATAATGCATATTTTCATATAAACATATTAATTTACATGAGAATGCGTGCCGTTTTTACAGGTACGATCAAGTATGATATAGCCTCTAATCGTAGATTGTCTACGAGTTAACAATATTCCAACAGCTAAATATTTAATATATATATATGCACTTATTGTCTGAACCAGACCGTACAGTCATTGAATTGTACACCTGTCCTCCAGGTTGCGCGGGAAAATTGACTTCGTTTCTTTTTCAACGCGCGGTTTTAGGCATACAATAACCAACCAATATTGAGGTAAGTACAACGTTTACAAGGGACTGAAAGCTGTTTTAGAAAAGTTAAAGTGCTAAGGTGAATCATTAAAGTGAAATGAAATGATTAAGTGCAATATATCATTGATAAACGCATTTATAAAGGAAATACAATAGGAAATTAATTAATCCCCTGGGCTGACAACGTTAATCTGCGATGTATGATGCTACGCGCGCTTCGTGTAGGACGTTACAATCTCTCCATATAACATGGATATATTTTTGTCGATTTCTGGAATATTGTAGTGGATATTATACCACTGCTCAACTATAACTTATATTGGCTGCTACTCTAGCTTCCAATTCTGCAGATATATCACCGCCAGTTATCAAGTTTGGATCCACTCTTTCGCAGGGCTCATCCTCCTTATTGTAACTTTAGAACAACGTCACAGAAAAGAAAACTGTAGAGAAGTTCATCATTTTTTGGTTTACATACCAGGATCAATTTACAGGATAATTGGTTTCTATATACTCTGTATCTTACTTTTTAGTACTTTGTAAATTTATTGTTTATTTATAAGCAATAAAATTCCATACGGTATCCATAGTAGTACTTAATCTGTATATCCACTCGATATACTATTTTTCCATATACCCGTTTTCGATTTAGCTCGGCTTTAACTTTAAACCATATTGATTAGTTTTCAGCAATGGCACAACGTAATAAACGAGTACTTTCCATACGTAAGAATAGTTTGGGTCACTCAGCTAAGAAGATACGTACATCACTGTGCGTTCCGCGTAGCCTCAACAATGTCCCCGAAGTCATTGTTCCCGACTTGTTGTCAGAGGTATATGCAACTGCTGAACAAAATAAGTTGGACCTTATATCTCTAGGAAACTCTGTGAAGGAATTAAATGAGAATATAAACACCATTAAGCCACTACTGCTTCTTTGTAACCCAACTCATGATGCTAATCCGGAAAGTCTGCTGAAATCTGAGCGTATGTTAGACTTTATAGCCAGTGAAGTTACTAAACGAATCATGTCCTCGTACAACGTTCTCGCTTACAATCTGCCTGATCGGACGCCTCTGGACAAAATCAAAGTGACATGTCTCCAAGCGTGTGGCATGCCATCAGCGAATTGCCACCTAATCAGACTCAGGAAAAAATCAGGAAAGTATACTTGCCCTGTGCTGTTTAAATTCAGTAGTCCTAATGATGCTAGGAAATTTCAGTCGTCAAATAAGTTAATTAGTTCATCCACACCTTATGGTAATATTAAACTTGCCCATGACCTAACGCCATGTCAAAGACGTAGCCGCGCAAGTGTACCAAGTGTCGCAAAAACTTACGTAACAGCAGAATGTCCTATAGAAGACTCTGTCGCCTTAAACTTGAGTAAACCTAATGGTACAGACATACATGAAATACTCTTAAATAATAAAAATTTACCTAGTAAACTCAACGATGAAGCAACTACGGTCATAGACTTAGATGCATCTTCAGAGTTATGCTCGCTAGCCACATCACCATCAGCCGCTAATACCACTACCAACGTTAAGCAAAAGACTAAGCTCGAGCATGTAGCATTAAGCATATCCTCCCCGAGCAGCACTCAGATTAGTGAGCATACAAAACGAAGTAAAATAACCCTGCCATCCAGAATACCTGTACTCAAACACATCACTGATAGGTTTCTCAGCAGCGAACCAGATAACATTAACTTAAGCGACCCCAATCATACCACTAAACCAGGGAAGCAGAATAAGCCCTCATACCGCCATAAATCTAACGTCAATGAAAAGAGAGGTAACCCGCCGATTCATCCAACATCAAACAAGTCTTCGTCCGATAGACACAACAGACGCTATATGTCTGGGCACCCTAAAAATAAGTCGAAGCCCGACGGGCAGGCATACACCTACCCCGACACAACTTTCCAATCTAGGGCTACTATAGACAAAAGTTTGATCCAGGGACCTCTACAACAAGGAACAAGTGCGCTAGGCATGTTTCCTAAAGGTGGCCTTTTGACTCACCACATCCCCGAAAACCATCGCATACAGACCACCCAAGACCGTCAATGGACTAATATTTACGAAAATAACTTAAACACACAAAATATTAGTCATAACTGCGATACACGTAACTCTACCCCAGCATACTATCCACAAGGAATACCTACCTCCCCCCCATCCAATCTAAATTTTCTCAGCCAACACGAAATTTCAGCCTCAATATTGACGCAAATAGCACACATACTGTCAAGCCACCTATCACCGGATGGGAGGGCGATGCATTGGAGGCACGGTATAATGAACACCTCACACCCGCCGGGGTAACAAACGATGGCACATCTCTCTGTGCTGATACTGGTGTAGGGCACTTTTCCAGCACTGCTAGTAAGTGGCCACCATCTGAGTTAGCACCCATCAAACAATCTGTTCTAGACGCCATAAACCTTGGAGAGAATATTTTTAAAGATATATGCGATTTCACCGTCACCCCTAACTCTCTCTCATTCTGTCTTATCAATGCTCGCTCCTTACTCAACAAAATGTTCGACTTCACGACATTATCCCTAATTTGCAATCCGTCTCTCATAATGATTACTGAGACATGGTGCACTCCTCAGATTTGCGATAAAGATATTTCTATTGATAACTATTATGTATTCAGAGGCGACAGAAACTATGGTAGAGGAGGAGGATGTGCTATGTATATCAGGTCTGATATTAAGGCCACACAGTGCTTCTACCCAGAGCTCATCACAGATAACGATTCAGTGTGGGCTATTCTAAGACTGTCTCACTCCAGTTCCTATCTTATAGGTTGCATCTATCACCCCCCGTGCTCAACCGTTGAAGGTAATATGAAGCTTGCTAGCACGTTCGCTTACGCCACTTCACTACCTCACACGGCTAAAATTATATGTGGGGACTTTAATATGCCCGATGTAGTCTGGCAACCACTTTCCTCACCAAAACGGTACAATGAATTTATCAACATAATAGAAACAAAAGAATGGCAACAACACGTACAGTATCCTACCAGGCTATCTAAGATTTTAGATCTAGTTTTCACTAATGGTATCATCCCCACTACCCTTCGAGTAGGTAAAGAGTTTCCTGGCAGCGACCACAGAGTAGTATTCGGTACATTTAATATTTGCACTAGCATGAGTTCGACAATAAACGCCAACAAAGTATTACTCAGGGGTTACAGACATGCTCAGTGGGATGAACTGAAACCATACATACGCACCCTAGACTGGGAGCCATACTTTACGTGCAGCTCGGCTATAGAGACAAACAAATTACTCTATGAGAACCTAGGATTTGCACATGACTTCATCGCTCCAGTAAGACTTGTGAAAACGAGGCCTAAACAGCCCGACTTCATCCCCGTAAAGATTCGAAACCGACTGCGTAAGCATGCTAGGCAATTCTACAGATATAATGACTTTTCATCACTCATTACACTCAAGCAAACTTATGATTCATACAAATCTAATCAGTTATCTGAGTCCATCAAACTAGAACGCATCCTCCACTCACGACCTGATAATACAGAGGCATTAGTTAAACTAATTAAGTCACGAATCAACAACAACAGAATAAGTATCCCTAACTTATTACTAGATGGAGAAAAACTACACGAAGACCCGCAGGAGATATGTGAGTTATTCAGCTCCCACTTTTCTAGCTACTATACTATCGAAGAAACAGTAGATAGTCTTGAAGTTCCGACAATACCAAATCACTTTTTGGGTAATATAACATTCACCCAACAAAAGATTTCCTCCGCTATAGCATCCCTCCGGACATCATATAACGCTGGGCCCGATGGAATTCCATCTATCTTGTTGAAAAGAGGTGGTGAGGATATACCCATTATCCTACTAAAGTTTTTCATTCTGTCCTTAAATAATGGCAGTTACCCAGAATGCTGGAAACTGTCGTTTATAACCCCTAGGCACAAACAAGGACCAACTTCTAACATCGAAAACTACCGACCGATTAATATCACGTCAGTAGTTTCCAGGGTTATGGAAAAGGTTATAGGGCAAGATATTGCTTCATACCTCCACCTTCACAAAGTGTTTACTCCAGCACAACACGGCTTCTTGAAAAATCGATCATGCTCCACCTGCCTACTTGACTACTTTGATGATGTTACCGCTAAGCGTGATCATGGTTTGTATGTCACAACTCTCTTCTTTGACTTCAAAAAAGCCTTTGATAAAGTCCCACACAAGAGACTAATCCTTAAGCTAAAGTCGTACGGGTTCCAAGACCCCTTGTTATCCTGGCTCATTTCTTTCTTGGAAGATCGTTCCCAAGTTGTGAAATTTGCAAATAATTACTCGTCACCCAGACCTATAAGAAGTGGAGTGATTCAGGGTAGTGTACTAGGTCCACTGCTTTTCGTAATCTACATTAACGACATCTGCAGCGTAATCAAGCATGGTACCCCATACCTCTTTGCTGACGACTTAAAGATTGTATACAGCTTCCCCCATTCTACACTAAACGAAGGATTCACACATATTCAAGATGATCTGGATAGGTTACATAACTGGAGCAATGACTGGCAACTGCCATTCAATTCTGATAAATGTGGTGTCCTATATTTCAATAACTCCCATCCGAATTTCAGGTTACACCTAGGTAACTCTTTTCTCCAAACCCTCAGTTCCATAAAAGACCTGGGAGTTACCTACTCACAAAACTTAACATTCAGTCAGTACGCAAAAGCACTTGTTTCTAAATGCCGAAGACTCACAGGCTTGTTGCATCGAAAAATGTACACAAATGAGGCTAAAGTCCTTTTATACAAAGTCATGGTTCGTCCAGTACTTGAATACTGCACAATTGTCTTCGGTTTCATGCATGGGTATGACAGGGTTCGTATTGAAAATATTCAGCGAAGTTTTACTCGACGCCTATTATACAAACATGAAGGACTGACTTACGCTGATAGGTGCAAAATGTATGGACTTCAGCCACTTTGGTTAAGGCGCCTGAAACTCAACCTTACATTCCTCTTTCGCCTTTTACACGGCTACACCAAAAGCAGTAATCCAATAGCTTTCAATAATTTACCCATATATACTCTTAGGAATCATGAAAATACTCTATCCATAAGCCGGTTCCGGACAAAACTGCGATCACGTTTCTTTAAAATACAGTACAGTGCATTATGGAACGAACTTCCACTTACTGTACGTAGTTGCCGATCTCCTACTGAATTCCAGCGTCTACTTAACGAGTTCCTATCAACAAAAGAGCTTCGGTCTACTTATCCATACTTTATCCATATGGGCCGCTCAACTAGCTTTAGTACTACAGACCCCAGTGCAATACCCCCAATTTGAGGAAACTCATTTGCCCCGGCAACCGTACCTCATCTATAACGTGATAAAACCAACCTAATCTCTCCCACATGCCTTTACCTAAGGTCCGGTTATTCAGCTTACTAGAGATCCTATCGATATTTCTTCAATCGGGTTTATAAACTCATTAGACTCTCCTGGATGTATAATCCCAAATTAGTTGTGATAGTTCTCCCATAATATAAGCAAACTGGTACTTTGTAATGTCTAAAGCATGCCATATGAAAAGTGGCCAGGAATACCTAGCAATAACAAACTCAACCAACCAACCATTTTCCCCAAGTTCATTCAACCTACCCTTATCCCTAATCGTACCACTACTCACTACACTCTACTCAGTAGAATATGACTTAATTTGCTCCGGTGCTCAAAACTCTTCTACCCTTTACTTTTTAAAAAAGACGTTTTAACTACTAACTGCACAGTAGCCATTTAACTAACTCACTGGTTTCCTCTTCACTGTAATCTTCAATAAGTTCGTCAGTATAATTATTTCCGAAAACCATTACATTAGCAACCATATCTTTTAATATTTTACGAATATACTTATATTATTAGCATAATACACTGCACTATTTTTGAGTTGAATTGATTATCTTCAGTCAACAGTTACCCATTCTCATATAATTTTCTAAAATTCATAATGTTAAAGCTATGTAGTATTTCTGTTAATATCTTTTATAATATGTTTAGACACGTTACTTTGCAATGTCAGATGTCTACTATATACAAGACTGTCATGATAATTTAGTACACTAAGTCCTGCCAACCGACCTTACCTTCAGTTCATACTACCTACATTGATCCCTAACTATATTGTTCTGCTGAATCTTGCTTAACTATTCACAAAACCTATTCTTTTTATTCTTTAAGGTTTTAACTTCTTGTAAAGTAATCCGTTCATTAGGACGCATGCATACATATATAATGTTCATAAAGATGTATGTGGAGACCTATTGGAAGCACTCATTAAGAAAGCTAGGGAGATGGAATATGGGGTACGAACATGTCTGGTACCAAGCAGTATATTTGCGGTAGCCATAATAATCATATTCTCAGAGCTTAACATCAAAAAAGGAGGGAGGGTGGCGTTAGCTGATCAGTAGATATGGTGGTGGTCACTAAGGTGAATCGCCCCATTCTGCAGGAACAGCAATATACAAATTAAAGGCTCGAGATATTTCTGATTTTTATGAGGGCTTAGATCTTTATCTTGAAAAAGATAATAATGAACGCCTTGACAGATCATGCTTCTACCTTTAAATATATACCATTCGCTCAGCCTATTGTTGAGATGCGACCATGTGGGCTCTGCACAGATTTATGGGGCATCTTATAAATCAACTTGCTGTCCATTGTCGGATCTTTAAATACCACTTCACAATGTCTTATCTCATTCATTTTCTAATAACGTCTTTACTTAATCCTCATTGTATCCCATTAAACCTAACATTTTATATCTCTTTATGAATTTGATTCGACTTATTCTATTCCTATTCTCTGTGAGGTACGGTTGTGCACCAAATGCACAAAAAAGCATAAAATAAAAAAGCAGACATAAGGAAAAAATGTATTATAACCAAAAGTGGACATCATGATACTACCAGATATACGCGTAGCATTATACATTGCAAATGAACGTTGTCAGCCTAGGGAGTTTTCTATATTAATGCATTTATTAGTGATACTTGCACTTACCCATTTCATTACACTTTATTGATTCACCTTAGCACTTTTACTTTTCTAAAATCAGCTTTCAATCCGTTGTAAACGTTGTACCTACCTCAATATTGGTTGGTTATCGTATGCCGACAACCACGGGATGAAAACGAAACGAAGTCGATTTTCCCGCTCAACCTGGAGGACAATTGTACAATTCAATAACTATACAGCCTAGTTCAGACAATGTGTATTTATATATATATCAAATATTTAACTGTTGAAACATTATTAACTTGTAGACAATCTACGATTTGATATTATATCATACTTGATCGTGCCTGTAAAAATGGCATGCATTTTCATGTAAATTTATATGTTTATATGAGAATATATATTATTATATTGAATAAAGTCAAAGTGGCAAGTAACGCAGGACCCATTTTTGAGAAATCCGTGTTGAAACCTTCTAACAGGATCTTCTCCAAGTATATGGTCTCATAATTGATCTTTAACAACTTTCTCCATGATTCGCAAGATAACTGGGGTTATATTAATAATAATGCATATTTTCATATAAACATATTAATTTACATGAGAATGCGTGCCGTTTTTACAGGTACGATCAAGTATGATATAGCCTCCAATCCTAGATTGTCTACGAGTTAACAATATTCCAACAGCTAAATATTTAATATATATATATGCACTTATTGTCTGAACCAGACCGTACAGTCATTGAATTGTACACCTGTCCTCCAGGTTGCGCGGGAAAATTGACTTCGTTTCTTTTTCAACGCGCGGTTTTAGGCATACAATAACCAACCAATATTGAGGTAAGTACAACGTTTACAAGGGACT